GACCGCCCGGGTTTGGGCGTCCGAACGGCTTCCCAACCGATCTATCCGCCCAACCCGTTCGATCACCCCTGCCGTGGGGGATCCTATCACGGGCTAGCTGTGGTAGGCACCCGACTGTCGCCTGCTCGGGCCCGATCGGTATGTGTCTGGCCTCGTGTCCCTTGGTCAGCCAGGATAGCACCGTCGCGTGGTGAGATATTGCATGACCTCGGTGGTGACCGATGCATGCTAGTCACGTGCCACCCATGCCAGGTCGCCGGAGCCTGTCCCGTCCTCTTCCTATAAATAGGACATTTATTGCAACTGGAAAGAGACTTTTTTGGCATTTAATTGAACCGGAGCTTCCCGACCCACTGTTGGAAATCCCGAGCTTTAGTACTCTACGTATACTCCTATTTACAGTATCAACATACAAAATAACTTTCTCAAAAAGCTGATCGAAAAAAATTATTTTAAACAACTTTTTGAATTTTAGTGTTTTAATCAGTATGCACTAGTATATATATCATTCCCTTTTAGAATGATGTTAAATTGTATAACATAAAAGTTTTCTTTCGCGCACAATGAATACAAATCAAATATCATAATGAACTTGCCGAAAACATTATTTTTTAATTTAAAGCACTTATGAAATTTTAAGTAATTTATTAACTATTCATCCATGCCCACTTATAAGTCTATGACCTACTTTTAATCTGTCTAAAATCATCCAATCTGTCACATATACATTTGTGAATTGTCATTCATTCCCCAATCTTAGTGTTATTCGTTAACCACCATCAAAAGCTCACCAAAAATATGTGATCTGAAGACTGGCTCCAGTTGTTTAATTTGTTGATTTTAAGGTGGTGTTCCAACGGTCGGCGCCAGTTTATAAAAAATATCAAACATTTATTACTGATACCATATGTATGTTTTTGCATTTCTCGTGTTCTTTTATTTTCTTAAATTACATTGTTTAATTTATTTCTGCACCACAAGGGAGCGTTAAATATATAAATAAACAAATAATGTTCAATCGTGTTGAACTTAATAGCCGCGTCCGCCGCGTCCAATTAATATTAATCATATGAATATTTAATCTACTCAATCAATATCATACTTTCCAAAATAAAGATAACTTTTAACCATTTTACAAGTTTGACTCTCAAGACAAATTATAATGTGGACCATGAATAAATATTAAAATATACTCAAGATTCATTATTTGATATATTACCAAATAATATATCTTCAGTAGGTTGAGAAATTATATGAACAGATACTACATTGTAATAGAGCTAGTAGCATTCAAAAATAATATATCTTCAGTAAACAAATAATGTACCTTTAAAATAACATTTAGTGTATTGAAAATATATTAAATAATATATCTTCAGTACACAAATAATGTACCTGTAAAAATGAACATTTAGTGTATTGAAAATATACTTATAGTATATTAAAAACTATATTTTATGTTAGTGGATTATGGTCTATAGCATAATGATTGGATTTTTAGCGCAAACAGCTTATTAGCTTTATTGGTTTGAGCCAATCAGTTTTAAGCAACATAAGTTGTTTTACTTCTTTGTGATTCTTTGCCAACTAGGGTCACATTGTCACAATGTAAGGTTTATCCAGTACACATTCTTGAGTAGTGATTACTAGTTTTCATTGTAACCCAAAATAATAATAATAATAAATAAAGACAATTTGTCCAAAAAGGTGTGGCTGAGACATGAGTGAGTGGAGTGTGATTCCCGTACTATAAGTTCACGAGTCCAATTTTTATCAATACTTTCTTGGTCAAACTCATCACATATTGAGTAATAGTTTCTTTTGTCACCCAAAAATAAATAAAGACAACTTTTATGGTATCTTAGGTAATAATATTGTATTTTTAGTAAAAATCATATTATTTATTTTATTAACTAAAGAAATATAACTTCGCCAACAACAAATTATATCTATTACGATACCACCATATATGGGAACCACTGTAGGATGGGAAATGAAAAACAGGAAAATGACAATTTTTAAAAGTATAAGAAATGAAATATAAGGAAACGTGTAAATATTTTTTTTAAAAAAAATATAAAGATATATTTACAAATATTTTTTCTTAATATGTATACATATTAATTATTTAACAATGTAAAATATTATACTACGGAGTAATAAATAAAGGTAGTGTTCTATAAATAGCTAAATAGTAAATATCAATTACTAAAAAGTCAATTTAAAAAAAATGATAGCTAAACATTATAATATTTTAAAACTTAAACAATTAAACATACTAATTGTTTGTGTTTTCATTTTAAATAAAAAACAGACCTTCATTCCATCAGACTCATTTAAAGATAAGTTAGCAAGATAGTATTTGGTTGGATAGAAAGTATTTTTCAAAGAAAATGTTTTCCTTAAATTTGAGAAAAACTAGATTTTTCTTTGGTTCATGAAAAACATTTTCCTCAACAAATCTTCTAAAAATGATACTACATATAAATTTACTATCTAATTAAGACCTAAATTCATATATGTCTCACTGAATTTTTAAAATTAAGGTTGAGTGGTCAGAGGGACTATTCATAGGCTCTTAGCTTAGCAGTGTAAACAGAAAGAAATCTGCATATGTAGACATGTGATGATGATTATATACAGTTGTTTCATGGTTTCACATTGTTTATTAAATGAAATATATTATTAACTTGTAATAATAAGATTAATTCATTTACAAGTAATTAATAAAAATATTATTTTTCTAAAGTAATGCGATTATTTAATAGAAAAAAAAACATTTTCATTAAACATGTACTCTGCAATAAGCTAAGGGAAAAAAAATGCATTTGCACCATTGAAATAATGTGACTAATTAAAATCTTACGAAATTTAATTTTTATTAGTTATATATCTATAAAGAATAATATTAAATGCATAAATTTTTGTTTCAAATTATTTGAAAAATCCTTGTATATATTATAAAACACATTTGGATGTTGCATTTATATATATATTTTTTATAATAATAAAACTTCTGAATATTAAATACACTAATTAACAAGTTGACAAAAAAGAAATATTCTCAAAATTTTGACCACCAATATTCAATTAATTAATCACATCTGAATCTCAAGTTCAACCACTGGAAATATAAATAAATAAACTTATTATAATAGATTTTTACTATGTATAGTTCAAGTAAACAAGTCAACTCAATTTTATAATGTATTATTACTATTGAGAGTCTTATAGTATCATGTGGCGTTGGAGAATTAATTATTACGGATCGGAGTATTATTTTGTAAAACTTGATCATAATCGTATTTTCCATGCATGTTATCAGAAAAATATATATGAAGTTCGCACCGCCTTAAATATTCACTGGTTCAGTAGGCAGTATTTAGGAGAAGAGACCAAGTTTCGAACTTTGGTAGCAGACTACCAGCAGTGTGTTGATTATGTCTAAAGTGGATAGATCCCTTGTGCACACCGGCATTTGACCTTGTCTGCTGAACTATTGAATCATCGTATATCTTTCCAAATGTTCTGTCGTGTGGGAGTTCTTAGGGTTGAGAATTCAACATTTTAGGAGAAAAATAAAAAACATATGAAATAAGTATACTAACCTAAGAAAATAAATTTTTTACGGAGTATTTTTGGATTATGACACCATACTATAATATTATCGAATAAAAAGTGAAGTGAAAAGAGTATGATGCATGAGTTTGTTTAATTCCATACACATGCCAGTTCTATACTGGCATTAGTTGACTACTGATACATATGTCATTTTTATATATTGAGTGTTTATTTTTAATGTACTATATGTTAATTTTTAATATATTGTAAGTTTATTTTTAGTATATTATCTAAAAGTAACATGTAATACATTATAAATGAACATTCAATATAGTAAAAATAATTGAAGCATGTGATCTATCTCAACTAAAAACCTAAGCTGATAGCTCGCTTATCTGGTGGCGTAGAGATTTAAACACATGACCTTTGGTCTGACTCTGATACCAAATTGAAGCATGTGCTCCATCTCAACTAAAAGTCTAAGCTGATAGTCGGATTGCACATTAATGGTTATATGCTCAATAAAAATAAACATTTATTAGTGGCATATCTCTCAATGTGAATCGTTCTTTCCAAGGTTGAACTTCAACTCTAAGGGCCCCCCACACTCCGCCCCGACGGAGCATCTGAGACTCTTAATGTGAATCATGATCTATAATATAATTGCCAAGTTTATATGATGGTCTCTGCATGATGGTGGGAACGTGTTATCATGTATTTTAATGGTATTTATATATATATTTTATCGTATTCAAAGATCTCATTAATTACTTAATTAGTTGATGTAACTCAAAATCAATTGGACTTAATTGCATATAAATAAAGAGTAATATTATATATAAACTTATTTTCTTACACTTTATTTACGTGACATACTTTTATTGATCTATAAAAATAAAAAGGTAAATGCAATTATTATTATATTTTTGTCAAATAAAATTAAACATTATGTGTGACAGAAAATTTTAGTTCTAAAAGTACACTTATCATTTTCATTTGTTTATATATAGGGTTAAACCGTCAACCTGAGGGTCCCTCATCCTCACGTCTTAGAGAATTTTAAGAGGAGGTAAATCGCGAAATACGTCTTCGTAATGTAGGATATGAATGTTCTCTTTTTCTCTTCAGATTTAGATTCTTTCAATTGAGGATTGGAACCCGAATAATGATTGAGGCTATATTTAGCAAATCTAACTGAAAAGGTAGCTAAAAGTTGAAAACATGTCACTTATGTAGTGGCCAAAATATCAAATTTTGACTACCGAAGTTAAAACTTGTGACCATACATTAACAGTTGGCTAATTTACTAATCTTTTATTAGGACAAGAACATGAAATTTGGCATAAATGTATGAATGAATATAGAATTAGCCTCTTGTCATTGGGTCCTCCCATAAAGCCGAAACCTGCCCCCACGCCCTCTCACTTTCAAGTGTGTTTAAAAGGGCAGCTGCAAAGCACCGATTTCTGCAGATTCCCAACTTCCCATTAAACCACTCAGTAGTTAATTTGTACATTGTACTTTAGAAAAAGAGAATCAAAATACATACATAAAGAGAGAGAGAGAGAGAGAAAATCTCATTTCTCTTTTCTCAAGAGAGCAAAAACAGGAACGCTAGCTGCTTTCTTGGCCAGACCCAATTTTCAAAGAAGCATAGAGTATAGTGCAGAAGAATAAGGGTCGAGTATATCTTCAAAAAAAAGAATAAGGGTCGAGTATAAAGAGGCATTGCCTTGTAAAGGGCACAGAATCTTGAGACAACATAGGAAAACATGGGACTGAAACTTGTTTTGGCGGTGGGGATGCTGCTGCTGTGTTCATGGTTTTGTTGTGGGAATGCTTCAGTGTCGTATGATAGGAATGCTATAATTGTGAATGGCCAAAGAAAGATTCTTATTTCTGGTTCTATTCACTACCCAAGAAGCACCCCTGAGGTATTTTCTGCCCAATGTGCTTCCTAGGTTTATCCAATGTTGTTTCAAGTGTGTGTGTGTGTGTTTTTTTTTTTTTTTTTTTTTTTTTTTTTTTTTTTTTTTTGGGACTGGGCAATAATGCTTTTGGTTCTTGTTTTTGGGTTATACAGATGTGGCCAGATCTTATTCAGAAAGCAAAAGAAGGAGGGTTGGATGTGATTCAGACATATGTTTTCTGGAATGGGCATGAACCTCAACCTGGGAAGGTAAGTAAAAGAGCTTCCTTTTTTTTTTTTTTTCTTGAATGTTTTTGTTTACTTATACACAGTAGATTTTAATAGAAATTTTCATTTTTTGGGGGGATTTGCAGTATTATTTTGAGGAAAGGTATGATCTTGTGAAATTCATTAAGCTGGTTCATCAAGCTGGACTTTATGTTCATCTCAGAGTGGGGCCTTATGCTTGTGGTGAATGGAACTTTGGGTAATTTTTATAGTTAACCTTTATATTTACAGCAACAATTATCCTATTTTCTTGGAGTAAAATTTTAAGTTTTGAAAACTTCCATTGTTTTTTGGTTTCAGGGGCTTTCCAGTTTGGCTGAAGTATGTTCCAGGGATCAGTTTCAGAACAGACAATGGACCTTTCAAGGTTAGGTTGCTTTGTCATGGAAATATTTCATCCTTATGATAAAATTCCCAAATTATATATATATATATATATATATATATACATATATATATATATATATGTTTTTATTGGTTCCTAATTTTCTGTTTATGTCAAAAGGCCGCAATGCAAAAATTCACAACCATGATTGTTAACATGATGAAATCAGAAAGGCTGTATGAATCTCAGGGTGGCCCTATAATCTTATCCCAGGTAATTAATTTTTTTTTTTTTTGGGTAGTATTAAATTGTTTCACACAGCTCTGAAAAACAAAGCTGTGGTCTTTCCTTTATTTGTATTATATTATACTATAATAAAGTATTAAAGAGAAGTATCTTAATTTTGTGAAATCTTGTTATAGATTGAGAACGAATATGGACCGATGGAATATGTACTTGGTGCACCTGGTCATGCTTATGCACAGTGGGCAGCGAAAATGGCTCTAAATCTCGGCACCGGTGTTCCATGGGTGATGTGCAAGCAAGACGATGCCCCCGATCCAGTTGTAAGTATTGCCCCTGCTTTTCTTAATTACTTTTGTTGTTTGGTTGCCATTGTTTTTTGTTCAGTTTTTGCATTGCTCATGAATTTCGTGAATGTTTTTTTTTTTTTTCTCCCAGATTAATACTTGCAATGGTTTCTACTGTGACTATTTTTCGCCAAATAAGGCTTATAAACCAAAGATGTGGACTGAAGCCTGGACAGGCTGGTAATATGCGTAAACCAAATTTGGTTTGTAGATGCCAAAGTTTGTTTAGAGCGGGGTGATGATGTTGTTTGAATAATCGTTGCAGGTTTACGGAATTTGGAGGTCCAGCAGCTTATCGTCCAGTTGAGGATTTGGCATATTCGGTCGCAAAGTTTATAATGAAAGGGGGCTCATTCGTCAACTATTACATGGTTCGTTTCTTGTTCGGGAAGCCCCGAATTCTATTGATTTTACCTTGTATTCATCGTCTATTTGTTTACTTTTGCAGTATCACGGAGGCACAAACTTTGGCCGGACATCCGGAGGTCCTTTTATTACCACTAGCTACGACTATGACGCTCCTATTGATGAATTTGGTAAGAACACTTGTCACACGTGGTTATGTTTCCTATAGTAGATAGATTAATTTGTTCATTTATCGGGAGTTTTATGACCATACTAGTTCACAAATTTTCTCCGTTTTTTCCTTTCTGCGGGGGTGGGGTGGGGGTCGGGTATAACCGTATTAAGTATGATTATACACATTCACAACCCTTTAACTGGAATTATGGATTGTGAAAACTAATAGAAATATTTCCTTGATGCCAAAGGGCTACTGAGGGAACCGAAATGGGGTCATCTGAAAGATTTGCATCGAGCGATTAAGCTGTGCGAGCCAGCTTTGGTATCTGGAGATCCCGTTATAACGTCACTCGGGAACTCCCAAGAGGCTCGTGTCTTCAAATCGAAGTCTGGTGGAGCATGTGCTGCATTCCTCGCAAACCACGACCAGCATTCATACGCTAAAGTCTCGTTTGGAAACATGCATTATAACTTGCCCCCGTGGTCCGTCAGCATCCTTCCCGACTGCAAGAACACCGTATTTAATACCGCAAGGGTGAGAGAAATTAACAACCCTTTTCCTTAGAATCTCGAGTGTTTCTTGTGGACATTTCGCGCTAAAATAGCACTTACTTTCCACCCGCAGATTGGAGCACAGAGCTCACAAATGAAGATGACTCCTGTTAGTCAAGGATTCGCTTGGCAGTCATATAATGAAGAGACAACATCGTACGGTGACAATACGTTTACTGTTGTCGGGCTGTTGGAGCAGATAAATACCACCAGAGATGCGTCTGATTATTTGTGGTACACGACAGAGTAAGTGTTTTTTGAAAATTGGAATTTTAGTCATGGTTACACATATAGTACTTATAAATGTTAATTCCAGTAGTTACTTATTCTAACGTATATTTTAATACCAGTGTCACGATTGATCCGAGAGAGGGATTCTTGAAAGGTGGAAAGTGGCCTTGGCTTAATGTCTTCTCAGCCGGGCACGCTTTACATGTTTTCGTCAATGGTCAATTAGTCGGTATGCAATATACTTTTGTTCGATGGAACTTATGGTTACTTAGATCCATATAATAGTGTCACTTGTTTAGTGATGGTATGTTCATGTTATGCGTTCTCACGTTTTGGCAGGAAGTGCCTATGGAAGTTTAGAGAACCCGAAAGTAACTTTCAGTAAATCAGTAAATATGAGAGCGGGAGTTAATAAAATTGCACTGCTAAGCATTGCTGTTGGTCTTCCGGTTAGTTCTCTCTCTTTTTCACTCACCCACACACTTCTTTATACACTACTGCACGGTTTAATGGAAGTATATGATTCTCTCGCATCTAATTTAACGAATAATCTATGAAGTTTAGTTTCTGACTTAAACATTTGCTTTGGCTCAGAACATAGGTCCTCGTTTTGAGACATGGAATACGGGCATCCTCGGCCCGGTTTCACTTGGTGGACTTAACGAGGGGAAGAGAGATTTAACATGGCAGAAATGGTCTTACAAGGTGTTCATTCAGATATATTTAAAGATAATATGCACTCCATAATTGTTTTTTTCTTCAGTGTCAATTGATTCGAGACTTTTTTCCTTTCAGATTGGTCTTAAAGGAGAAGCACTAAGTCTTCATTCGCTCACTGGGAGCTCGTCAGTTGAGTGGGTTCAAGGTTCTTTTGTGGTTCAAAAACAACCACTCACATGGTATAAGGTGTGTATGGCACCTCTTTGGCTCTTTCTTTTTCTTCGTAATAAATTTTGTGAAAATATGTATATATATATCCCTGTGATTAAAAGGTTGTTGAATTTTCTATTGTTTTCCAGACTACGTTCAATGCTCCACCTGGAAATGAGCCTTTAGCGTTGGATATGAACACCATGGGCAAAGGTCAAGTATGGATAAACGGTCAAAGCATTGGGCGTTATTGGCCAGCAAACAAAGCATCTGGCAACTGTGGTGTATGTAACTATGCCGGTTGGTTTGATGAGAAGAAATGCCTGCGTAAATGTGGAGAAGCTACGCAAAGATGGTAAGACCGAAATGTTCTAGTTGGCTATATTGTTTTCTTGTGATGTAACTAAGTTGAGCAACTAAACGGTGAATGGTGACTCCTCAGGTATCATGTTCCTCGCTCTTTCCTGCGCCCAACTGGGAATTTATTAGTTATTTTCGAAGAATGGGGAGGGAACCCATATGGGATCTCTTTGGTGAAACGCCAAGTAGACAGCGTGTGTGCTGATATATTCGAATGGCAACCACAGTTGATGAACTGGAAGATGCAAGCATCCGGTAAAGTGGCTAAACCGCTTAGGCCTAAAGCTCACCTCTCGTGTGGTCCTGGCCAGAAGATTTCTTCGATCAAATTCGCTAGCTTTGGATCCCCCGAGGGGGTTTGTGGAAGCTTTCGCCAGGGAAGCTGCCACGCCTTCCACTCGTACGATATTTTTAACAAGGTATTCTCGATCAAATCTTGGCACATTTCAAGTAGGTAATATACTTGAGTTCTCCTTTCATTGAAGCTAAGACGTTAATCTTTGCAGTACTGCATTGGATGGAACTCGTGCACAGTACCCGTAACGCCTGAAGCCTTTGGAGGAGATCCATGCCCGAACGTCATGAAGAAACTGTCTGTTGAGGCTGTATGCAGTTAATGGGGTACTCGTTTAGTTCCATTCATTCCACGATTCGTTTAGTTCCATTGTCATTAATTTTGGCTTTGCCGGGATGAAGTTGAACAGCTATGCAACAAACACATCCTCTGACAAAAGACAACAAAAGTTGCAGAGATGATTGTGGAAAGGATCATGGTCATGTATGTATGTATATATATATATATATATATATATATATATATATGTATCTTAGCCACCACCAGTCTGAAACTGCAAAACAAGATTCTTTGAAAGGGTTGTTAGAATTGATTGGGACAACCCTCAATGAGTCTATATGGAAGTGATTTTAGAGTATGTTAGGGTTTCAGAATTTCAGTGTTGTATTACTATGTATGGTAGTGAATTAAATTGCAAGCAATCATTTCATTGCTTTTAGGATTCAGAATTTAAACCTTCTACTACTACTACTATGCAATTAGTACATTAAATTGTAAAAATACAATGTTACAATGACCTGAAATCTCTCTTATATTGCATTCTTAGTTCCTGGTCTTTGGAAATTTTGATTTTATTGACGATAAATTTTATTTTGTTTCAACTATAGTTTTATTTGACATTATACTTACAATAGTCTTATTATAGTGAGATATGTTATTGAATTTCATTTTATACACACTGTAGTCTTATTACAATATCACTAAATTATAATTCTAATTCATCTACCATTTTATTGGACAATATACACTAAAATATGTGAAACTGTTATTCAGTTTCATTTTATATACACTATAGTTTCATCACAACACAACTAAGGTATCATTTTAACATAACTAAAGTTTTATTTGAGTCAATATGTGAGACATGCGCTTTATTTTTCTTTTTATACATATTGTAGTTCCATTTCAACAAAACTAAAGTATCATTTCAATTCAACTATAATTTTATTTGACAATATACACTCAATATGTAAGACATTGTTATTCAGTTTCATTTTAACACAACTAAAGTATTATTTCAATTCAATTACTGTTTAATTTTATAATATAAACATAATATACGAGACAAGTTATTGAATTTCATTTTAAATACACTATAATTTATATTATTTGTTTGATGCAATGGACTGAGTTCTAATAATTTTATGGGAAAATGACACTTTTTCCCCCTAAGTTATATACTTATAGCACTTTTTCCCCCTCAATTATTTATGTAAGCACATTAGCCCCCTCAATTATTTTAAAAGTGGTGGTTTTTTCCCCAAATATATTAAATTGACATTTCTACCCTTAAAGTAAATATTTTATTTATTTTACTTCTCAACAAATTATTGCGTATATGTAGCGATTACCACGGTTCGGTTCGAACTGAACCAGACACTATAGCAATCGAATTAAAAATTTTCAGTTATGATTCAGATCTAGAACCCAATATTTCGATTTCAATTTATTAAATTTAAGAATAAAAAAAAACTGGATCATGAACTGTAAACCGGCAGTTCCGGATCCAGTTCGCGATTTTGAACCGTTTTTATTTTAAAATTTTATTTTTTATTTTAAAATAATCTAAATTCAACAATAAATGTATTTTATTTTTTCAGTTCGGAATATGAACCGGTCATTCCGGTTCGCTATTTTAATAAACTCTAAATATTGCGTTTTCATTATAAATTGTAATTGGAATATTTTGGTTTGGTTGCTATAGTATCTGTTTGGTTTGAACCAAATTATAGTAATAATTTGTTGGAGAATAAAAATAAATGAAATATTTATTTTAAGGGTAAATATGTCCATTTAACATTTCAGGGGGAAAAAGAGCCACTTAAATAATTGAGGGAGAAAAAGTGCTATAAGTATATAACTTAGGGAGAAAAAGTGTCATTTTCCCTAATTTTATTAAATTCTATTTGAATGTAACATAGTATACTTAAAAGGCACGGTAAATTTTAATTGTGTGTGATCCACATAACTTATTATATTTTTATTGAGGCATTAGAGCAATCCCATTAAGGAGTTTTTGCATAGGTTTTAATGTTACAACAAAGTTTTGTTGGAAGAGAAAGAAGGGAGGAGAGTTAGGATTTGGAGTGATCATGCAAGCACCCAAGGTTTTGTAGAGGTGTGAGTCCCACGGTGGGAAGAAAAAGTTGTGTGTGGGCGTGTAAATTTTTTTTTTTTTTTTTATAGATTTTTTTTCCTCTCTTGTCATTTTCTCTTTCCTAATCACATCTACAAAAACTCCTCAAAAACTACACCAAAATGTCCATCATTGAGGATACCCTTAGTATAGTGTATTATTGACATATACAAGATAAATATAAATTTTAAAAATTTTGTACTAAAGTTTAAATTTTTTTTTTTATATGTTTTCTAATACCTATTGCAATAACAGTTTTATTGGCATTGATAGTATTAAATTTCATATATTTTTGATATTTTACAGTTATGAATTTTAACTTAATATATACTTCTTTTATTATAAAAGTAACAAATTAGCATTTATTGGGTAACTGTTATTATTATATATTTAATTTAATATTTAATTTAATGTGTACTATTATACATGCCTCTCAATTTAAAATTTCATAATTGTAATTATAAATTTTATATATATATATATATATATATATATATATATATATATATATATTCGGATATAAATGTAAATAATTTCACATTATGGGTTCGATTTTATGTTCATTAGTAATAATTTATTAGAGAAACTTTCAATTTTGGTCCACTGATTATTGGAGTTGTGTTAATTGCAACACTTGACTTTCAAAAATGTTAATTTAGTACCTTGACTATGCAATTTCTATCAATTTTGGTCACGCCGGCCAAATTACAGGCCAAATCTCACCGGAAAAATTTAATAGGTTAAATAATGAGGGTATTTTAGTCAGTTTACCCATTTTCTTTCTTCTCCAATGAGCTTCTCCATTTCCGGCAACATTCTTCTCCATTTCCGGCGACGTTCTTCTCTTAAAGCAGGAGACCCATGTCTGAAGAACTACATAACTCAGTCTGCTATCATACAAGGTCTGAAGGGATGTAAAGGGAGAGATTGGTTTGACATCATTGCGGGAAATACAATATTTGAGCTTGGCCTACCATTCACGGAGTCCAACGAGGTTAGAAGCATTTTTTTTTATTGCATATGCAGCTGTATGTTCTTCTGAATGATATAGATCGAGTTTAATTTATTACTTTCATATCTCCCTATTGTTGTTATCGATTAGATTATTAGTGTGCAAAGCAATGAATTGATTTTGGAAGCGTTCAAGAAAATGAAAGAAAGCCAAATTGGAGGTCTCCCTGTTGTTGAACGTCGCCGGAAATGGAGAAGAACGTCGCCGGAAATGGAGAAGCTCATCGGAAAAGAAAGAAAATGGGTAAAATGACTAAAATACCCTCATTATTTGACCTATTAAATTTTTTCGGTGAGATTTGACCGACAATTTGGCCGGCGTGACCAAAATTGATAGAAATTGCATAGTCAAGGTACTAAATTAACATTTTTAAAAGTCAAGTGTTGCAATTAACAGAACTCCAATAGTTAGTGGACCAAAATTGAAATTTTCTCTAATTTATTATCTTTTACTATAATACATACTTCAGCTCACTTAAATGATTTATTGTGATGTTAACTGATGGTGGCAGAAGCAATAGTGTTTCATAGTTCACCTTTTTCTTTTGCTCAAAATAACTATAGTAAGCAACTAAGCAAACCGAACACTAGCAACACACAATTTATATAATCAAATTCGGCTCAAAAATGAATTTGAGAGCCTATATAAAACACACAAGTGATATTATGCTTTTGAAGACCCTATTTGAGGGAATTGAAATTTTGAAGATTCAAACCTTAACAATTTAACATTAAAAAAAAACGTACCGAAAATTTTTATCCTTGAAAAATCCCTGCAAAGATTGGATGAGTATAATTTTTCATCCTCTTCGGTGAACGGGGCGGGACAAGGAATGAGATTAAATTCGGGAACGGGGATGAGAATCCGACTCCCAGTCTCATTGATTAAATAGCAGAGTATTATTGAAAAGAAATCATTGATTTTTTTGTTTGTTTTAAATTTTTTGATGACCGCATAATCTTCAACTTCTTGTGCTTATTTCACATGTCTTGATGGTCTCTATCGTGTTAAAATTCCTATCTCTCCGTGTTGCAAACACAAATTCATGGTTGAGCCTGTATTCCCCAACTTCCATACTGTCCAGCACTCTTCAGTCACAACCGTATTGTATATGCAGTTGGTGGCACAGAGGGAGCTACGCTTGTATATGCCGAGAGATGTACATTTTTTATCCCAGTAGGTTTCACAAATTACCTATGGAAAGTCAGCGCTGCTGTGTCGACCACAAACCACGGAATTTTGAATCTATAGCGGAATCACAGGTTATTCGAGGAGCTGAGGGTCGGATTTTTCTACTCTTAGTGAATAATCATCAACTTTATCAGCATAGGGTCAAGAAGCAATTGTGTTTTCAGTACTTTGACACTATCAAAGATTACTTTGAAAACCTTCCATCCCCTCTCGCATCTGATCATGTACTTAGTCTTATTGTCACACTTGTCACTTTTTTCTTAGCGGCTATATATATTTGTTCATTTGGGACCCACAGAGTAAGTACTTGGCAGGGTTGTTGAAGCCCTACAAATTCAATACCGGCTCAACCCACTAATTTGTAGTAGTGGCAAGACCAGGTCGAATCCCAAGAGAACTAATGAGTTCGTTTCTTTAATTTAAATAAAATGACTCAAAGTAGGGAAAATTGGGGGATTTGAGAAGAATAAATAAAATAGACAATAATTAATAACGAGTTCAGAGATTTTGAATTCTAATTCAAGGAAGAATGAACGTTAAAGATGTGACTTAGATCATCGGCTCTTACAAGTAAAGTTTAGATTCAAGTACTTAGCCAAAGACTAATTAGGATAGCCATAACTAGCATTTGATCTCCCTGAATTAATTGATTCAAACCAAGCATTCAAACCAACATCTGTTATTGAATAAACTGGGGACGATAGCGTTCCATATTCACCCAATAACATC